CGCATTGTATGTTGGTTGGATGGCGTGAGTCAGCAGGTAGGTTAAGGTAAATCAAGAACAAAAACAGAAAACAAAAGAGAAAATGAGTCATCAACACAAGCAAAAACTCAAACTCTGAGTACTTAACCAGAAAATTTTAGGATTTTGGTAAACTATATATTTTTCTTAAAATGTATCAAATCAAAACACATTGTGAAAGCGAGGGCTTGTCCCGAGTACCCACTGAGCACTCAGCCCAGACCACGATGCCCGCCGTGGCCATGTACCATGCTGGTGGGGACAAGGTCCAGGAGCTGCAAACAAACTGCTCTCTACTCTTTTGTTCTAATGGGGCTGGTGACTAAGAAAAGAAAAGAAAAATGAATGTGCACATACACATACGTAATGCACAGGTGGCGTGTGCTACTACGAGACAGGACGGGGCAGCCCAGGCGGGGAGGGCTCTCCAGCACGGTGGCTGTTCCGAGGCCGGGCTGGCGTCCCCTGGCACTGCCGCAGCATCCAACACCGTCCTCTCAAAATGCAGCCTATTCCACTCCAGCTGTGAAACGCTGTGTCACAAACATCCCCTTTCAGTTAGAGGAATCTCACATAGCTGCTACTTTAGGTAAATTTCCACAGTCACAGCTGAAGTTGAATCTGCTGCCAAAGGCTGCTGCCAAATGTTGCTCTCTTCTCAAAATTCCTAGCTCTCTTCTCAAAATTCCTAAAGTCCTAAAGACCCCAGTGCACCTGCCCTCCGCACACGCGTGCCGACCAGGGGCCTGGCACACAAGCCCACGGTTCGGGAATGGGGAAGCCCTGGCTCTGCTGTTTCCTAGGCAGAGCCATGTATTCTACTCAGGCCCTAAAAGACCTCTTCCCAAACATGAAGACAAAATCTCTACACCCTGCCTGGAGCCCTGTGCCCCAGGCCTGGCCCCGAGGAAGGGTCTGTCCAGGATGGATGCCACTGGGGACCTTGCGGAGCCCGCCCAGGGAAAGCAAACCTTCCCTGTCTGCTGGCGTGAGGTGGACAGAGCAGAAGGGAGACGGTGGTGCCACAGAAACCATGGCTCACAGGCATTGGGCCAGACTCGCGTCCTGCAAAACCTCTCCAGTCTGCGCCAGTCCCAACAGGAAACTTTGCCATGAGCACCTGCCCACCACCCACTCCAGAAACCCTACCTCCTGCCTTGGCCAGGTCCCAGAATCAAACAGCTTCTGGGAGGGCCCTCAGAGGCCCCCACTGGAGCCCTGGAGCTGGGCGAGAGTCCACAGAGGCCAGAGGTGAGAGGGCGCAGCTGAATCCAACTGCAGGCCTCCGAGGGCAGGGGTCAGAGTCCCAGGGAACAGGGCAGAGAGCAGAGCAAGCACAGTGAGAGCTTTAAGAACTATTTAAAGTCACGAAACCAACCGTTTCCTATATGTGATGTTTTCATGGATGGATATTGCGTGTTATTTACAAATTGGGGTGGTTTGAGCAGCAGGTGCACAACATACAGACGGAGACATGGGTTTTCGCATTGTATGTTGGTTGGATGGCGTGAGTCAGCAGGTAGGTTAAGGTAAATCAAGAACAAAAACAGAAAACAAAAGAGAAAATGAGTCATCAACACAAGCAAAAACTCAAACTCTGAGTACTAAAAAAAAAAGAATCCACGTTAGAGCACCGTGGCAGTCCCAGGGCCAAGACCACGGGCAGTCATGAAGCCCTGGCCTCGGGGCCCAGTTGAGCAGACAGACGTGGCAGTCCCAGGGCAGACAGATAGCCCCAGTCAAGAAGCCCCCTACCTACCAGGCGCCACCAAGTGGGCAGCAGAACAGAAACCGTGGCAGTCCCAGTGGCACAAGACACAGCGGGCCCAGTCAGAGCCTGACCCCTAAACAGGGCCCCCCCCAGCAAGTTGGAAGCCCCGACAGACCATGGCAGTCCCAGGGCAAGACAGAGGGGCAGTCGAGAGCCCTGACCCTATGGGGCCACCAGTGGGAAGCAGAACCAGACGCGTGGCAGTCCCAGGGCAAGACAGAGACGGGCCAGTCGAAGCCCTGACCCTAACCCCACAGGGGGGCAGACAAACCGTGGGCCATCCCCAGGGCAAGACAACAGCGGGCCCAGCTCCCGAGAGCCCCTGACCCTAGGGCCCACAGTGGGAGCAGGACCCAGACCGTCAGGCCAACGTCCCAGGGCAAGACCACACGGGCAGTCAGAGCCCTGACTACGGGCCCCACAAGTGGGAGCAGAACCAAACCGATGGCAGATTCCAGGGCAAGACAGACGGGCAGTCCGAGAGCCCCTGACCTACGGCGGCCACCAAGTGGGAGCAGACAGACCGTGGCAGTCCCAGGGCAAGACAGAGGGCAGTCGGAGAGGCCCCTGACCTACGGGGCCCACAGTGGGAGCAGACAGACCATGGCAGTCCCAGGGCAAGACAGAGGAGCAGCCAGCAAGGACACTGCTGCGTAAGCATACGCGAGTGCATGAGCAGAAAGTCTGACGCCAGCTGCTGCCACAGATAAGCATGATCCCTTGCTTGGTTTCTCAACCAC